GTTATCCCGAGAAATTGAAACGTTTTAAACGCATGATTTTATCTCTGTTTAATAAATGGGTGCCCATCAACTTCTGAGTGCATGCAGCAGTATAGAACGCTCAGCTATAGTGCATTTATTTATTTATGTATTTATTTATTTATTTATTATTATTTATTCCGAATCGTGCTTTATAATAACGAAAATAGAACATGACAGTTCGATTATAAGCTTAAATTCACATTATTAGGCAGCTCTAGAACAGGGATCGTAGGCAAAGTTGCGCATCGGTTCACATGTGTTCAACTTTTGCAGGTGAAAATGGAATTACAGAAGAGCCGGAAAGTCCCGGCGCAGTTGGATTTTCGTTCGAGAGACAAGATGAGCGTAAGTTACCTAAAAAGATAGAAACATTCTAACCGCGCGATTTTGACTGATTAAAGAACGGATGCCCATCGACTTCTGAGTACCTGCAGCAGTAAAACACTTAGCAAAGGAATTTATGTATTTATTTTTATTCGAAATTGTGCTTTATCGTAATGAAAATTTTCAATGACAGCTTGCTATCTCCAACCTAAATTCCCATTATTAGGCAGCCTATAGGGAACATGCAGACATTGAGTACCCAGCCCAAGCATTGTTTTCGAAACATTACACGTGTACACGCGAGGTTATCGTGTGATCGCGACCACCTGGATTATCGGCGCCGTGGTCTGGTGCATGTGCGGTAGCAATAAAAGCCAACACAGCCCATGGCTTCACTGACCAGGCGACCACTGTGCAGTCGAGGGGGGCTACACGGATAGAAAATGCTCGCTTTAATGCACGTATTGTGTTATTCAGCAGTAGTCTCTTACAGACAACACCTTGAGACCTTCCACGCATTCATGTCTAAGTGGCCCACCGTAATACTGTACCTCTCTTTTCTCTCTCTCTCTTTTCAGTGTTTCCTGAAGACGAGCACGAAGAACCTGCAGATTCTCCCGCTAATGATGGCTTTACACAGTTCACGAGTGAACGTAAGTCACCTTACAAATGGTGCCTGTATGTATGTGTCTGTTGCGTTCATAATTATAATATTATTATAATATTAATATCATTTATTTATTTCTGATCAATACAATGGAACTTGGTGGAAGGTGTGAGAGTAAAAGCAAAGAACGCTGTATACGCCTCACACCTTTTACAGTTGGGAAGCAGCAGGAAACATCACTATATTGCATCTGTGTTTACAAGAGAGCAACACAAAATAGAAATAAACTCAAAAAGGTAACCCCCGTATTCAGAAACGCTCCTTGACTTGACCTTTGCACCGCCTCAAAGCAGCGCGTTTGAAACGGGCTTGTGCTGCATTGAAGGGGGTGGCAAGTGAGGGATCGGTTCGGGTGTAAGTATGCGGACTTAAACAATTTCGCTCTTTACTGAAAATGGGGCCGCCACGGCCGGGATTCGATCCCGCGACCTGCGGGTCAACAGTTGAACACCATAACTACTAGATTGCGTGCTTCTGTGGATGCGATATTTCCAGGGGAGGGTTGGGGGGGGGGGGTCAGTGTACAATAAGTTTGATACCTAGAGCTGAGCATGGGGCCTGAACACCTCGACTCAGCCCACTCATTAAAAATTACCAAGGAACATTTATACTGAGCGTGATCACAAATACAAAGTGAATAACTTGTATCTATATATCTGTTCCCACTCGCTCAATGTTGTTCATTGTTACTTGTTAAATAAGTTGGACTATCGAAGGATCACGTGACATTCGCAAACGCCTCCATTTTTCTACGCAGGCCTTGGTGCAAGAGTGCGTCTTCTGGCTGAGAAGATTGCTGAAGACACGGACAAGGTTTCCCAAAATTACGAAAACCTCGTTCTTCGAGTAGCAGCGCGTCGCGACGATCTCTTTCGACGCAACGAGCAGCAAAGGCAAAATATCGACACCCTCAAAAGCATACTCCTTGAGAATTTGAAGAAGTACTCGAAAGATGGCGAGTAGCTGAGTCGACACTGACAGCAGACAGCGAAGTATGCGTACATGTGAAGCAGGGATAACATGTTTGAAGGACTCTCTCGGGGCTAAATTGCATCGATGACATATGTGCTCACTATTTCGCGTATTAGTTATATTTATTTCTTTAGAAATACTGTCAACCCTCTCTTGAGGGTCATTACAGAAAAGGTACGACACACTGTACAAACAAATTAAGGATATAACTATGCATCTCCCAATGATAAACTAGGTATACATATATACAAATCCGTGAAAGCTCTGCATTCCTAACGAAAAACACACACCCTGATTCGCAAAGCAACGAATAACAATCGCAAGAATATTTACAATAAGTCACATAAATGTAAATCAAGTAAATGCACAAATTCATTAACATCACCCGCACTGACTATGTTACTCGGTATCCATGCCAATCTTCAATGACATCGGGCAAGAAAGTATGACGGTACGCCTTCGTTCATGCAAAAATAAGGTTGCAGCACTCGTATATGGTTTGCTCTCTCGCTTCGTTTTCCAGGTTGTTCTATGTAGTCAATTCTGTTAATTTTAAACTCACCTTCTAATGATTGAAAAAGAAACTTCCATCTATTTTTGCGTCTGCGCTTGTGGAACGTCTCCAGATCACATAGTTGTGGCATTTCTGTGACTGAGTTGTTCTGCTTATATCTCGAGCATATAAAGCGAGCTGCAAGCCGCTGTGTGCGTTCAAGTTTATTTACAAGCACTTTTTGGTGGGGACTCCAGACAATACTGGCATATTCCAGTATCGGCCGTTTGAAAGTTTTAAAAGCAAGAAGCTTTACGTCCATACTAGCACCCTGCAGTTTTTTCTTAATTTGTACAATTTTACTTCCAATATACTTCCTTACAATATACACCTTTTACAATATACAATATTCTTCCTTTTGTGATAAGGGTATCACATGACAAATTTCTAGCAAGTTAGCACGCTAGCTTTGTATTTGTGTTGTTATTTGTATTTGTTGTTTGTATTTATGTTGTTATGTTTGTGTTGTATTTATGTTTAATAATTTGTTATTAATAAAGAAGTCATATTTTGGTGTTCCACATCAACCAACGCAATCCAGTTTGGTATGTATGTACATATGAATTTAATAAACATCTTAAGCAACTGTTTCTAAGGTACGTATGCATTGTGAAATGTTTGATGTAGTTTTCGCGAATTTCGCGTAATGAACTCGTTCAATACCAGAAATATATGTAGCGCAAATATTATGAGAAACACGATAGACGGAAGTATATGAGAAACACGATAGACGAGCGCTACTACCATTGGCGTAGCCAGGTGGGGAAGAAAGTGGGTGTTAATTGACAATTGTGGTGTGCAGGAGAATAACATCATCTAAATCGCTCGCGATCTCTCCCAAATTATCTCTTCTTTATCAGTCGTACGTCAGAATAGGCGCTGGTCTGACGCATCGGCACACCGTTGCATGTTTTTTTTTTTTTTTTCAGTGCGGTCCTTTCTCAACCCGAAGACTGGCTGGCTTAGCTGGATAAGAGAGGGGGTCGGGAGTACAACCTTTTTACGCATACATACGCACTCACGAACATAGAACATACATGTAACATATCCCCGCCCGCTGTAAATAAGCTCTATAGTTACGCCCCTCCTGTTCATCTGTGGTAGACATCTTCTGAACATTGCCTAACGCAAGGCTGCAGCAACACGAATTGTCTGCGGTGCGTGCATGGGCAGTACTCTTATGGTAATTCACTGGTTTCCCGGTCGAAATTGGTTAGCGGAAACAGGCGCGCCTATCACCCACACAGCATACGCGCGGGTATGAATATTTCAGCGGATCCAGTGGGCTGTTTGCGACGCAGGTGAGAATAATATGTGCATGCGCAAGTGTGATCCGTTGTTTCCTTTGTATGAATTTCCAGAACAAATATATTCGTGCACATGCAAATTAACTTTTGTTCAATAAAGTCAGCGTTACGGTTGCTCATTAAATTGCTCCTTTCTTCGGTCACGTTGTTGTCCACAGCGGTGATGTAGCTCTCACCCTAAAGTTGCGGGCTCGAGCCTGGTCGGGGTGGTCGCGTTGTAATGAGGGCGATGCGCTAGTGGCCACCATGGTGTAGCTAACAAACATATTGTGGTTTTAGGACGTTGAACTCTAGCTAGTATTTATTTTTCATAGTCCGATTTGTTATCCGTGACGTCCACTTCACTCAGTACTATATTGTAACAACAAATCCAAGTGGAAACACTGCTAATAACCACGAGGAACAGAAACCACAGTAACGGAAGTGAAAATTCACGACGATAGCGGATTGGACGGGTTTGTGCCGTGGAAGAATGGTTCGTCCGGTGTTCTCTTGTTCCAGTGTAACTTCGGTTCAACGAACTGAAAAACAAGTCTTCTGCTTGCCTCCTCTTTACTTGATTGGTTCATGCAGGTTTAGTTTGAGCAAAAAGTCGTTTTGAGCCCCAAAGTATTATGGTTGAGCTTTGTAAACATGGCAACAAAAAGCGTTGCCAAGCGCTGCTGCCCACCCCCCGCTCTAAACAACATATTTCACCGTTTCAATTGAGGCGCGCACGCATCAAATGCGCATGTCGCGCTGCTAGCGCCACCCCATAGACGTTCTGCGTACCTACTGATTTCTCGGTATTGCTCCTGTGATTGCTGCGCACTGAAAAACTTGGAGGCAATGTGCTCAGCGCTGCCGGCATCGCAGACCGCGAAAATATAAGTTTTATAAAAAGAGATTTGTTCGGGCTAGGCTAAACGGGAATGAAACAAGCGATCAATTAACCTGTTTCTGATAGAAGTAAGCTGCCGTCTGCTTGCAAAAGGTGTAAGCTGTTTGCAGATGCCGTGCTCACTCTGGGATATCTTCAAGTTCTCAGAATCTTGTTGCACCAAATGGATTTTTCTGGCGAACGCACTGAAGGGCAAAACAGCACGGTAATGTGACCTTATTTGTTTACAATAACGCAGTTGTATGTGGTTACTCATGATGGTTGTTAACTGTCTCCATGCAGACCCTGCTGCTTCAACTGGAGCAAACGCTGCCGGCATCACCTGAAGACTACGGGAGCGAAGGTTTCTATCCGCGTACGTCCCCGCGTGTTAATACGGCGCACGTCGCATGCGAATACATTTAAAATATAATGCCGCCGAACGCACGTTTTGACGTTTACAGGCGAAGATGCGCGCCCGGGAGAAGCTGGAAGCTTCGGCACCTGTGAATTGTTGTTGGAGAGACCGGATGAAGGTATGCCATACAACAATATATGAATGACACTTCTACCTATGAGAGTACAATAGAGTGTATTATTACATGCTGCTAACACACTCATCCATAATAATATATGTTGCGTGTTAAGAAAGCATCAGGCAAATATTTATATAATATGTATTGTAAATGTAGGCATAATTCATTATCGTGGTTAAACAAAGACGTATTCATTCATTTGTTTATTCATTTATTGAAGGTACACTATAAAACCGCAAATGCTTTCCGTTGACACACGCCCGGCGAATAACCCTTTCCCATAGTTTGCCAATCTCATAAGGGTCTACGTTAAACATCGGCATGTCGTTTCAACCCCGTTTATGGAGTGTAGCAGCTTGGGCTAGTTGGTATGACATGACGATATTTATAGCGCGAAAACAGAACAACGACGCAGAGACAAGAAGTTCTTCGTGTCCTTCTTATCGTCTGTTTATGGAGTAAATATACCGGTGTTCTGCGGTTTAGATCACTTGCAAGTTTAGATACTCATTGCAAGTTTAGATTACCTAGACAATGAAATTTTTAAGGTGCTGTTTCGGGAGTATTACGGAGACACTTCTTGTTTCCATCGGGTACTTATTAGGCATATTAGCTGGACATTTCTGAGTGTTAACGGACTTAGGCTGACTTTCTCTGAGCTACTGTCGAGGGACAGGGGGATAGCGCGTCGCCCTCTGTTCCTAATTTCGTTTTACAACTCGAAATCCTGATAAGGCGCCCCTGGAAATTGCACGTTATGGGGCATGGAGATCGCTAACGATTTCCGTATGAACAAAACAATTGTTTTAGTGAGCTCTAATGATTCTCCGATTCACCCTTTACCGGTAATTTTTCATCCATGGATTCACGACTTGTACGTAAGGCGAACTTGCAATACTTGTAATATACGTACCTGTATTGCGTTGCTGTAATCTTTGTAGGCGTTTGCACGAGAAGGAAAGGGGGCAAAGCCTGCCCCATACATAGAACCTAGTGGAGAGGAGGCGGGGACTGCGATGATCTACCATTTCCTGCGCTCGCAGTCAGGTAGCCAGGGTTGGCACTCCAGGCCTCGGCCCCCAACCCCACGCATACATAGCGCAAAATGACCATTTGCCATTGGCGTGCTCGGCAGTGTGGCGTACCCACTCTTTCGCTAGTTGGGGGGGGGGGGGGGGCAAACCTACCTCACCTAACCCCTAGGCGGGGATATAAAAATATATAAAAGAGCCCACAAGAAAAATCACCACAGCGGAAATGTTGGCAAAATTCCAATATGTTGTAACATCGCCTCGTAACAATTCCATTCTCCCGTAAGAACATAATTGAGTGATTACTGTTGTGATGGAAAACTACGCCCTACTTTTGGTTTTCCCAGTGTGACCACTGTCGAAAGGGGGGGGGGGGGGACTCAGCCCCCAACTTTTCTCAATGGGAAGAGAAGGGGCTCGCGTTTCTCTTGCCTCCCGGCTGATACGGGTGCTCGGCCCCCCACTTTAGACCAAAAAATAGCCTCCCCCCCCCCCCCTAAAAAAGATTCTGCATACAATCCTGCCCCCTCCCCCATTAAGTTGAACCTAACGCTACCTATGGGTATCTTATGTAACATAAGTTTGATGGCATCTTATTTTGTGTGAACGTCTCGCACAGGTGATGCAGATAATGACGGTCCCGAAGAGGAAGCTGGCGGTTACCGTGGGGATGCATCACTCGAGATGGCAATCGAACGTAAGCGGCACACATTTGTGACATCACTTCGTGCTATGCAGTGCGTTAATGCCGACGCCTAGAATGTCATGCCGCTAAATGTAGCTGCTCAAAAGTACTCAGAAGTCCTTAAACAATTTTTCAACAATGTGCGAAAACGTTGTCGATATTCCTTGAACACGTGAACAGAATACTGTACTGCATGTAGCAGGAATTACAAAATCAAAAATACCCGAAATTACTCGCATGTACCACGCCCGCCCTCGGGGTGTGGCAACGTGCCGATAACACAAGCAGTCAGCGTATACGCTTCTTTTAGGTAGCATGCAAGCTATCGGAATCTTAGCATAAGCATCGTGAAAATTTAGGCCACACCAGCCACACAGAGAGAACAGTCGTAAGGTTGTAACCCGCGGCAAACACCCGCTTCGCGTCGTGTATAGACAGGGTTTGACTGCAGTTTATCCCGGCCGCCTGGATCAGGCGACTGTGAGTTGATTATGCAGATCATGCCCTACACTCACGGGGACGCCAGAATCGCAAGCATTCATGCCATGGAGAAAGGAAGAACTCATGCCATGGCTACAGTGTTCTAGCTAGTACACTCTACCATGGCTACAGTGTTCTAGTTCTAGAACTCTGTACCATGGCCCATGAAAGAAGGAAAAAAGGAGTTTTTCTTTCCTCCGTGTTTCATGTCCTCACGAGCTCTGCTCTTGCGAGTTTCCTGCGAATCATCATTCCGGAAATGACGTCAACTTGGCGTACTCACGTACACGCGTACTCGTGTGGTCGATCACGGGCTTTCTAATCCGAACGGCAGCGCTAGCTCTTTTCGACGCGCGTCAACACGCGATCTGGCTTGCTCGGCTGAGGCTGACGCTAAGCAGCGCGTTCTGACGTGTTCCCACGCGTTCATGAGGTAGGGGCTAGTACAGACCTTGGCAGCCCCAACCAATGGTAGTGTACAGGTGTTCTGTGGCCCATCTTCCCTTTGCCACCCATTGTCTTCCCTTGTTTCGTTGACACTGCACTCTCGGGGATGGCGTGAGATACGAAACGCGTATTTAATGCAATAACTCCGCGCGAAAAAAAAATAAACATAAAAAACACAAATGCTTAGACAAGAGATTCGTGAGGCAGCGGGATCATTCTGACTTAAATTAATACCTTCGACAAGTATTGGCAAACCCAAATGAGTGTGAGGATCGCGGTGCATGAGGGGGGGGGGGAGGCGCTGCTTTTATGTGGAATTTCGGGTAATACTTTTTTTATATATCAGCAGTAACCTACACAGCTTCATTACCACGCCCCGGTAGCATCCTTCAGGATCGCCAGCCAATTCAGCACGCTACACACTACTGACTACCATTTCCGGTCATGTCATGTGGTTGAAAGAAAAGCTGCCAGTATTGAATGCCCTCTCGTCCCACCCCCTTCCAGATGCACCGATCTGCAATAAGGTCTCCATACACCCTTGAAAACCCGTTTAGAAAATGAGAGCATGTTGTTCGGCCAGTGATGCATCGCAGAGCAGTTGGGTGAGAGGGTCCATGTATGCACAAAGGTACACAGGAGAATAAATTATAATAGTTGTCAGTAAGCCCCGCCGCAGTGGTCTAGTGGCTAAGGTGCTCGGCTGACCCGCAGGTCGCGGGATCGAATCCTATCTGCGGCGACTGCATTTCCGTTTGAGGCGGAAATGTAGACCTGTGTGCTCAAATTTGAATGCACGTTAAAGAGCCTCAGGTGGTCGAAATTTCCGGAGCCCTCCACTACGGCGTCTCTCATAATCATATAGTGGTTTCGAGACGTTAAACGCCAGATATATATCTATTAGTGGTCAGTAAGAGGAATTTACGTTGATTTCGTCCACTCACTGGAGCATGGGGAACTTTCGAGAATGCAGCAACCATACATTGGAAAAAATGAGCATACTTGACAGAGGTCAATCTGGCTGGGTAAAATTGTACGTATAAACAGACTCTCCAGCCACCTTTAGTCTATAGTTTTTAATATTAAAATTTAAAACTGGCTCTGCATATCGAGACCTATTTATTTCTTCATCAACCGGTGACTCATTTGGGATGGGTCTCAAAACATCGGGCCAATTTTACTTTTAAACTAGTAGTGGCTGGATAGTCTATTTATTCGTATGGGACAAAGTGGTTCAAGTTAGGAAGAGGACAAGACTTTCTGTTGTCCACAAGGTAACAGTGTCACAGGGAATTAGGTCAAGGAATAAATAGAAAGAAAAGGAAAATAAACCAGTTCTAAACCAATGTGTGGAGTGGACAACCGAATATCTACAGCCAACAATGAGCAACCGTGCTGAAGACCCAATACATTGCTCCACTACATATCATCGTGGCATAATGTCGCAGTGTCAAGTATCAACTTAGCCAAAGACAACTATTTCAACACAAATTTAGTACATAACTGCATATTTTCATGGAATTAGCTCTTGCTTTTGAAAACTATTCATGCGACACACACAGACGGCAAATATGAAGCTTCACTTGGAATCTCAAGTGAGATGTTCTCATTTTGCAGAACTTCATGTTGACCTCTTTCCTACCTGCTTTACATAAAACATTCATGTTTTTTTCTAAACGCTTCCTGTTTTCAGACTTGGTTCAGGTAAAGACAAAGTTTGGTGTAACAATGTTTACTGGTACACGTTGCCAGAATGGGGAATCAGATAGAGATGCTACGGCAGCAGCTTATAACTCCCCTCCTTGCAAATGTTTCACATTATTCTTTTCCTATCTGTTTCCTTGTAAACACTATTTTTACATGTATGAACACTGGACAAGTTTTAGAGGAGAAAAGCACGCTCAATGAACTTAAACGTCCTGCAGGACGTATCAAATATCTGCATATAATTTTCCATTGCAGGTCTTGGCACTGCAGCACAAAGAACAGTTGAAGAAGTGGGCGACAACTTGCGTAAAATTCTTCAGAAGAGTGAAGAAAGCCTTCAGCGTTTATTGAAATTACGGGATGAAGTTCTGCAGCATGAACAAGAGCAATTGCAGAAGTTTGAGCGTGCCAAAGCCGTTATGCTTAGTGTTTTTGATAATTGCACACAGGGGTAGTTGGGGGCTAATGGCGGCACCCTAGTTTTTGAATTGCACCAATGTATGAAAACTTTCTATACCAGCGAGGGCCAGTACGTATGAAAAAAATTCCAAAATTTACTTTCTTTTGATCACACATCAAGCCCCTATGTGCAATTTGTTCAGGCAAGAATGCACTTTTACTACCTTGAATACATTTAAGTCAATAAAAAAGTTATAGTTCCACATTTCTTGGCAGCGTTATCACTGTGGGTGAAATTATTACAATTTCTGTCTTGCTATCTCAAACCAAACGTGAAATTTATTAACACGTTGGGACAAATAACGTCATTACACATAAAACCAGTTCTTGTGCCACTGTGCAAGCATGTGACAGCCAGTTATGGTTACGTCTAACATCTGAAACATCGATAAACTATTTTACAACCACTGCCTCTACATGTCACAATGGAAAACAAAAGCAGTCAATGAGGTGCAGGCACTACCTAAACCTTTTTTCTGGACTATTATTTTGTGCTGCTTAACTATAGACAGTTGCAGACTCAAATTTCGATAAGCAGTTGGTGATGCGCGTGCGCACCTTTTACAAACAGTTATTTATTTACTTCCGTGGACGCAACGAGACTGTTATTAGCGTACACTCGCCCCGCCCTTTTTGACGGCCGTTAACCGCGAATTTTTAGGCGCAATTACCGCACGTTACCGGAAAATGATGGGTATCGCTGTACACCACTCTGTATTTTGTCAAAACCACAATTCACATTTACTAAATGTGTCGCCTGTATTTGGAAGACGTAATTGCCGTAAGCCACGTACATTATTCAAAATTTCAGTGTTCGCAATGAAGATGCAAATGTATTTTAGTGATGCCTGAGTCACTGCAGACGGGTTAACAGGGCTTAATATGTCGCAAAAATAAATCTGCTCACTGCAAAACACACACACACACACACACACACACACACACACACACACACACACACACACACACACACACACACACACACACACACACACACACACACACACACACACACACACACACACACACACACACACACACACACACATATATATATATATATATATATATATATGAAAGTAGATGCGCTTTCACATATTATTGTGCCTACGTTTCGACGGGAACCCCGTCTTTTTCAAGGCATAATACTATTTACACATGTTCCGTGTCTTCTTGTATCCTGTTGAGACAGGAGGGAAGGGGTCAAAAGTAAAGTAAAAAAGAAAAGAAAAAGAAAGAAAAGAGAGAGAGAAAAAAAAAGAAGAAACAGCGAAACGGGAGGACAAACATTAAATAAAATATAGAAAATCTAGGAGAAGAAGCAAGACCGACACGGCGTAATTAGTAAGGGGCAGCATCTCAACAGAGTAGGGCAGAGGTAGATGAGCAATGTCATCATTGTCAACAATACCTCCCCCGCACCCACTCTTCCTCAAGTGGGCAGTGAGCCGCCGTTCTTTGTATTTCACCTTTCCGTGTAGTCCGCTGGCGGCTCGTTCCTCTTTGAAGTTTAGGACAAGTTAATGGGGAGGGCTTAAGTGCTTCGAGTGCGTGTTGGTGGCATCGGGAGGAATGAAAAAGCCGGTGATTGAGGCACCGCCATCGATATTCATTATATGCAATGGCTCCTTGTCAGTGAAGGAACAGAATGTGCGTTAAAAATTAGAGAAGGAAAAAAAAGAAGAAGAACACGGGGTGGGGGGGGGGGGAAGACTCTACGACATCCGCGACAGTCACCACACAGTTGCGGCTCACTGGGAGCTGGACGCAGCTGAACGCATGCAAGCATACAATCGTGCGAGCTGGACGCATGCCGCCACTACCTAAGGACTTCAGCAAAATTGTGCTACGACCATGTGGAGGATTAAATATCTCGAGAATTGGCACTGGAGCCGTGGCAGACGCGATAGTACTGGCGGCCGGCGTCAAAGAGGAAGAGGCCATGCAGCACATCATCTG